TGACCAATTTGATCAGGGTTCTATTTTCATCACATTAATATACTCCTTTTGTGTACGTAGAGTGGCAAACCATAATTACGCATATTGTTTTGTAATTATTTGTAAATAAGTATATTATACCACACAAGACAAAGAGCCAATGTGTACCTCGTAAATTATATCATTACTTCATTTTGTCTCATTTCAACCATCTCCAAGGCTAAATTGTTATCGTCGCATATTCATAATAGTAATTCCATATCATGATTCTGTTTTGAAAATCTTTTTCTGGGAAACAAGTTTGTTTTTACTATGCTAGAGTGGACAAGATCATTCCTGTAAATCGTTGCTATAGCAATGAGAAGGTAAATTGTGGGCTTTTATGATGACAATTTTAACAACATCTCCGAAGAGCATGATCGATGTTGAAATCTACCTATGGTGTGCTATCGACACACAACTATGGTACAAATATTGCATGCATTGGTTTCACGTCTGTTGTTTGATTTGTAATATGGATCTTTGTAATTCGAAGCTGATTAAATGAATTAAACTTAGTTGTGAAAATATTTGCATTTTTTCCTGCTGTCTTCAATATATTATTTTTTGTAGAGTGTAGACAAATGTTGAATGTCGCCCAGTGTCAGTCTTTTGTGTTTATTTCGTGTGCAGTTTTCATCACTGGTCTGGTTCGCTCTCGCTCGCTTTATCCCTTTTGTTTTATTTCTTTCGTTTTCCTGAGACTTTAATAATACTCAATTTTTTTAACACCCCCAGTACTAGAGAACACGTTTCAGCACTAGAAAAGATATCTTGAAAATACTCAAACAAGAAACAGTAACTGGACTTGCACCACGAGTGTAGGCACATAAACCGTGTATTTAAAACAGAATTAATATGATAATGATAGCGCAAGCGACCTGTGTCAATAATATTGTTTAACACTGATCCAGAAAATATGTCACTTATATTTTCGTGTAATTATTTATACCTAAACAATAGTGTCGGTTACAGAGATACATCACATTTCTCAATTTGGCCTTAAAAGTTGTTCTATAATGTTTTTGTCTTGTTACAATGAAACGTGACAATGGAAGATTGCATCATTGCATCCTTAACGAAAATACACATCTATCAGATCCGATCCTGGATAATAGAAACAAGCCAATGGTTAAAAAAATGAAAGTTCTGAAATGATATATATGACAACCACTTCCCTACCGCTCTGAATGCAGGACAATCAATAAAGACAGTGAAAATAAAATAGAAGCTACAGAAATGTTGTTTCTTATGGTTGCCGAGAATTTCTTGGAAGAAAAGAAAACAATTTGATGTAGTACTTGAAAAGGTCCACTTGGCCCGGTCGCTAATAACAACAATCTGGAAAAGACAAATTCAGTTTCTGTGACACTTTAATAGTCATAAAGACCTTGGACATCTTGCTCTCACAGGCAAAACTGAAGGCAAACGAGGCATGGGTAAGCCCGGAGCAAGCTACTTGGGGGAGCCTAAACAGATGGGTGACGGGGAAAGTTGAAGATAAAGTAGCTTTTTCGAGAGCATCTGAGCAAATGAATGCGTGGAGAACCATGATCACCTATGCTTACCACAGATATGGCATTTGATGTTTATCAAATTCATGTTTTGTTACTTAAAAAGAATCTCTATTACTTTGTTTTAAAAGACTTTGGATATAATATGAATGACAAAAAAAACCCCAACAACAACCCAACAAAAAAAAACAAGTATACATTTTTTTCATAAAAAAGTATTATGTCCCTGTTTAAGTAGATGTTTTACGGCGCTCGCAACTGCATAAGGTCATATGAGCGCCAATTCTGTCACTTTCTATCTTTCTCAGTGTATCGCTCAAAGTGTCTTTCTCGATCTTTCTCATTATCTTTCTCATTCTCTTGCACCCCCTATCTCTCTCTCTCTCTCTCTCTCTCTCTCTCTCTCTCT